AGATATGGTCACATAAAGGCAACTTATCTGTCAGCATTTGATTAGTGATGTCTGGTATGGGAATGGACCTAGGAGATGAAGTCTGGGACTGTTTCATCCCTACAGGTCCTAATGAAATTATTGGGATAACAGTACAAATTGCCACCTTTGATCTTGCAACAGAAAAAGAAATGGTATATTTACCATGTGCTTAGCATTTAGCATATAAGTCCTCCCCCCTCCCAGGCCATAGATTCTCAAAGTCTAGTATCCATCAGAGATGAGTGGCAAAATACCGAGGTGGCCTTATTAGGTGTTCTGAATCACTAGGTGGTCTAGTGACATTGCATCCAAAATTTACATTGCAACAAAGTTGGAGGTGATTCTGACACAGATGGCCTTTGAAGTCACTGGCTTGAGGAACAGGAAGGGAGGCTGGGTTCCTGGACCCCAAAGGAATCCTTATAGGTAGTAATTATAATAACAGCTACTTGTTGAGAAAGAAGGAGAGATATGAATTAATTGCCTTGAACTTGAGGCTCACACAGATGACAAATGGTCTTGGGGGCTGGAAATCCAGGACTGCATAGCCTGCATTCCACTCTGTACTCAGAGGCTCAATATTGAGACTCTACCATAGCCTTTTGATTGTTTAATACTTAATTTTTAATTCCTTAAATTATGTGAAGGTGTGTGCCTTCTTGAGGATATGTGCATGTAGGGGGTGGGGGCCAGATGCATTGGAAACCCTGGGGTTGGAGTCATAGGTGCTGTGAGCCATCTTACATGGGTGCTGGGGACAGAACTTGGTCCTCTACAAGAGAAACGGGTTCCCTTAACCACTGAGACATCTCTCCATAGCCCCTAAGCTTATATTCTTGAAGGATCCATATAAGTCTAAGTCCTCCATGACTCTTTGTGTGTGTGTGTGTGTGTCCATTGTGCACATATATGACATTATGCTGGATCCCCCCCCCCCAACAGGCTGCCATATAGCCCAGGTTAGCCTCCAACTTGCTATGTAACCATGGATAACTTTGAATTTCTGGATCCTCCTGCCTCCACCTCCCAAGACCTGGGGTTATGGGTGAGTACTAGCATGCCTGGTTTGCGTGGTGCAGGGGATTGAACCTTGGGCTTCATGCATGCCAAGAAATCACTCTACCGGCTGAGCTACATTCCTAGACCCCTGTCCCTTTCTTGGGCAAAACTCTAGTAGCCTCATTTGCCTTCATTACATGGAGGGCTCAGCCTTCCAGAGGCCTCACCGTGGAGCACTGCGAGCCGCTCTCTGTTGACTCGCCTCAAAATGCAGTAACTAGTCCTCAGTGCCTACTCTTCTTTTGACTAGAATATTCTTGTCCTGGCTCTCAGCTAGCTCTGTTGTTCTGGTCTAGCCACAGAAGACACCTCCACCCAGGAAACTTCCTTTGACCCTCTGGGTTGTCAATGCCACAATGTCTGTTGTGCCCTGCATATGACAACGTCCTGAGTAAATTATTTCTCCAGAATATTTAAGGTAGTGTGGGTGTAGATAGGAGTGTGTGTGTGTGTGTGTGTGTGTGATGTGCATCCGTGTATCTTGGTACACTCATCTATTCCCCTGCATGTGTATGAAGGTCAGAGGTCAACTTTGGGTGCCTTCCTCTTTTACTCTCCACCTTATTGAGTCTCTCGCTCAACCTAGAGTTTACCATTTCTCCTAGACTGGCTGGCCATGGAGTTCCAGGGATTTGCCTGTCGATACCTGCTCCCCATCCCCACCACTGGAGCTACAGGCATGCATGGCCACTCCAGCTGGGTAAGGGATCAGAACCATGACCCTCATGCTTCTTTAGCAACCCACTTTGCATACTGCATGGTTTTTGTTTGTTTGTTTCATTTTGTTTTACAGATGTATCTACTTTGTGTATGTGAGTATTTTGCCTACGAGTATGTATGTATGCGCACCACACATTCATTCTGGCACCCACAGAAGCCAGAAGAGGGTGTTGAATCTCCTAGAACTGTAGTTACAGATGGCTGTGAGCCCCTGAACCTGTGTCCTCTGCAAGAGTAGCAAGTGCTCTTAACCAGCAAGCCAGCTTCTCGGCCCTGATTTGCTTTGTGTGCTTTGTTTCCTGAGAGAAGGTCTCACTTTGTAGCCCAGGCTGGCATTGCAGCTACTATATAGCTCTGGCTGATTTTGAACACACAGCATCCCTACTGTCTCAGCCTCCCCCAAGTGCTGGGATTACACACATGCACCATCACATGCAGCTCAGACACAGGAGTTGTTACTAGCTCTAATCCCAGGAATCCAGTGGACAGAGTGGGATTAAGAAGAGAAGGGACCAAAGGCAGGATAGCCGGGGATATGGGGGGAGCTGGCGTGTGCGGAGGAAAGGGTAGGAAGCCTGTCCATGCCACACCTTGTCTATGTAACTCCGGCCCAGCTCCTTCACTTCCTGAAGATGGACTTGGGCTTGGGCCTGGCTCTTCTTGCCCATCCGTCTCCGGCAGCGTTTCCGGTAGAGACAGAAACAGGTGCTGAAGATCAGGAGGCCTGAGCCCAGCACGATGGTGGCCAGGACCCAGGCAGGCACTGGAGAAGGGTAGACACAACATACATCAAAGCCCTGGGAAATTGGCTGGCTGCCTCAGGTTCGACTCCATATGGCTGCTTGACTCAGCCTGGTTTTCCCTCCAGCCAATGACATTCATTTTAACGCCATGTTTTCCTTCCAACCAGCCTCACCTGTAAAGCTCTGTAGATGCTCTAACCCAGGCTGACAAGATCTGTCTTACAGTCCTAATGTCTCTATACCCATTTTTATTTCTGCTCAACTCCTATTGCTTTTGGAAGAAGCTTTGCTCACTCCCGGGTCTCAGTTTCCATCCACCCATTTATGATCCCATTCCGTGACCCACCCTTGATCCTCTTCTGGTTTTCCTCGAAGACCTGCATTTCAGATTCTAGTCTGAGACACTGGCCCACGATCCCTGCCGCATTTTCCAGCCCACCAATCCCAGTCTTTGCATCTGAGTCCCCGCCCCTAGGGACCCAGCGGGGCTTTCCACTTGGGCTGGCCCAGCATTTTCTCACCGGCGGCCTGCCTGATGCGGCTGGAGTCTGGAGGTGTCTCCGGTGCTGGAGATCCCGGGGTCGGGGGTTCCGGGAACATGGCGTCGGGTTCCCGCGGTGCTTCCTACAGAGGTACCCAAGCACCCTATCCCCCCCACTCCTACCCCAAACACCCATTGAGTTTTCCGCGCATCAAAGACTTTCGGTGCACACTGGGAGTTAATCTCAGCCTTTCCAGGCCGAGGGCAGGCTTTGGGGGGACCCAATTCCATCACAAAAGGACGACCCCTCTCTTCAGGCATCTCCCCCAACCACCCTCTTGGGCCTCTTCCTTGCCCTTCCCAGGGGGTTGAACCGGAAATGGGCGAAGGCAGGCGTGGGAACCAGCAGACAGACCACTGTTGCCCAGAGAGACCGCCAGGCTCCAGGCAGGGTGATAGCAAGGCTGGTTGCTGAGCAACGAGCCTGTTGCCAAGACAACGGGAGGGACTGACGCACGGAAACGAAGACCGGGCGGTGCCGGTGCAGGGGACCCGGGACCGGGATCCCGCGGCCCAGCGAGGGCGGTTGAGGGCGGCCTGTGGTCTGTGCATCCACAGCGGCTCCTCCCTCCGCGTCGGACCCCTTGCGCCACCACTCTCGCTGGCGAAGCGGGGAGCCCGGCCCCGGCACCTCTGCTGGGCCCCCACAGCCTCTTGCTCACGAGTCTCGCGCGCGCACCCCGGCGCACACCTGTCCTCGTGACCTAGTCGGCCTCCACTTCTCTCTAAACCCCAGATGGACATCTTCCCTGTCCCGCACCCCTGCATGCATCCCTCTCTGGTCCGCGCCTCTGCTGCCCTCTGTTGTCTGGCCTCGGTCTCTCTCGGTTTCTGCCTGCCAACCTGCCCAACCTGCTCTTTGTCTCCACACCTGTGCCTCCTCTCCACGCAGCAATCTCCTCGGTTGGGGCTTCCACCTGGCCCTCAGAGTTGGCCGGTGTCAGCGTCCCTCCACCCAGTGCTCAGCCCTACCCACCCCTCCCACACACGACTGAGGATGTGGCTGGGACAGGGGGTCCCGACAGCTCCTACCTGCTAGGTGGCTGGCTGGACAGGACCCTCCCGGAGGCGCCGAGTCGTGGGCTGCCGGGACCCCGCCCCCAGCACGTGGGCGGATGGCGCTGTCCCGGGTGCTGATCTAGCTCGGCGGGGTGGGGGCGCGGCTGAGTCCTGCCAGGCTGGTGCCTGCGCCCCTGAGTGTGAACGCGCGCGCGCGTGTATGGATGTGTGCATGTGTGTGCGTGCGTGTTCTGCCCCGGCGAAAGGAGAACGCCCTGCTCCGCCCCTCGGCCCGCCACACCCGAGAACCACCATGGCGCCCACGTACGTTGATCTTAGTACCCTAGAATGTTCTGATGTCTGACTAAGTCATCGGACATCTACACTGAGCATCAGCCCCCGCAAGACAGGTAGGCAGACAGACAGACAGACAGACAGACAGACACACACACACACACACACACACACACACAGAGAGAGAGAGAGAGAGAGAGAGAGCGCAGACTTTTTACAATGCAAAATAACCGGATTCCAGAACACTCTGTTTTAGGATCCATGAGAAACCCCTCTGGAGACCCAAGTACTCAGCTACCCAGATTCTCGAGGCAGCGAATAGAAGCCTCCAGCATTTCTGCTCTCAGACATCGCTTCCCCTTAACCAACCCTAGGAGGCAAGCCCTTACATCCCTGGCTTCAGCCAACACAGAGGTCTGGTACCTGAGCCCTCTCTGAAAGACTCACCATCCGAACCTGTACGTGTGCTCACACACATATGTGTGTTTGTGTGTATAGTGGTGCACGTTCGTGTGTGTATGTGTGTGAAGGTCGGAAGACAACTTTGCATTTTTTCGTCCAGGTGCCATCCACTTTTTAAAAACTTAAATAACGTTTATTTATTTATCTGTGTGGGGGGAGTGGATATGTGGAGGCCAAAAGACAGTTGGAAGGTGCTGGCTCTCTCCTACAGCCATGTGGCTTCCCGGGGATTGAACTCAAGTCACCAGAGCTTACAGGAAGTGCCTTTTCTGGATGAGCCGCCTCAGTGTCCCTGTCCATTTTGTCATTGGCACGGAACACACCAAGTAGGTTAGGCTGGCTGTCCATCTCTGCCTCCTCAATTAGGCACTACAAGCAAGTCCGCCCACACCCAGCTTTTCCCACATGGGTCTCTGGGGCCTCAAAGTCAGGTCCCCAAGTCTGCAAAGCAAGCATTTTCCCAACCAACTGAGCTATCCTTCCAGCCTCAATCCTGTTTTGTTTTGTTTTTTAAACGAGGTGGTAGAATATAATGGACTCTTCAAGAGCCTCTCCATACATGTTTGTTCACATGTTAAGGTCTGGAACCCCCTCTTCTACCCCAAGTATTGTCTCCAGACACAAATATCCACCTTAGGGAGAATAGTAAAATAAATTACGTAGACGGAAAGAATGTGCAAGCATGGGCTGCACGGAGCCCACAAGCAAAGGGACTCCTTCAGCCTCCAATTCAAGGAGACTGGTTTGGTTTCAGAAATAAGGTGTGTGTGTGGGGGGGGACTGGCGAGTACCTGTCTGCCCTTGTTCCTCAGGTAGCAGAATTCCAGACCCCAATTCTTTCTTCCGAATCCAGGTTCCAGCCTATTTCTTTGAGAACCTGCATACCCAGGCACAGCCACCCCCACTCAAAAACACAGGAAATTGCCTGTCAACCCTGTCCTTGGGCTTCCAGCTCCCGCAGGGCTCATAGTTGAAGTACATTAGTCCCATCCTGTCTGTGGACAACAGGAGATGGCGTTCCAGTGTGCTGGGGAGGCTGGGACTCCAATCCTCAGTTCTCTTGGAGGTCCAGGTATCTGGGCTCCATATCCAGCCTGAGTATTACTGTGCATAAGGCTCAGCACCCAGTAGCTGAGACCTCAGACTCATGAGCTCTGATGGCAGCTACATTCTCATAGACTACATCCTTTTGGTTGAGGGTGGAGGCTGAATTCTGGAGGGATTTCAGGATGCACTGGTGGAAAAATACATACTGGGCCTGGAGAGGTTCACAAAAATGAGCGATGATGCCCAAAGGGTCCCTCATCCCCCGCACCATGCCCACATCCCCTTAACAGCCCCTCACCTCTGTCTGCACCATCAGTGGTCGGCTCTCTCTCATCTTCTTCACGAAGCTGAAGGGACCTACCAGCCCCTCACACTGCAGCTGCCGGAGCAGGACGTCCAGGGCAATTAGGGTGCCTGTCCGGCCCACACCAGCACTAGGCAAGGGACAAGACAGGGGTTAGGCCACCAGGGGAGAGGGAATTCTGGAGTTCGTAGCTGAGATCCTACGGTTTTGGACCACCCAAGAAGTGTGACACTCAACAATCCGCAGTTTAAGTGAGGGCTGTGAGGACGGTCACTAGAGTTTTTCTACGTCCGTCGGCCATGTTCTGTGAACTCTGCTGGATCTTTTCACACGAAAACTGAGCAAGGGGAGGGAAGTCATGAGCGCCGGGGCGTGCAGCTAATAAACAGGTCTGGAGCTGAAATCCACAGGAGTAACTCCTAACGTAATTGGTTTTGTGTTGGCTGTTGTTTGGTTGGTTTGGTTTTGGGTTTTCAGAACAGGGTTTCTCTGTGTAGCCCTGGCTGTCTCCTGGCTGGCTTAGAATTTAAGAGATCCCCCTGCCTCTGCCTCCAGAGTGCTGGATTACAGGTGTATGCATGCCGCCATGCCCAGCCCCTAATTGCTTTTTAAAGGTTTTATTTTACTTTTAATTTTGTGTCTGCATGCATGTCTGTGATGGATTCTGAGTCCCTGGGGATAGGGGACAGAACTCCCCAGTGGAGAGACTTTCAGGGTGGTACCCACCTGCAGTGCACAATGGGAGGGCCTCCATCCATGTTCTGGTCCAACCACTGCCGAAGCATCTTCTGGAAAGCTAGCAAGGGGTCCGGGGAGTAAGGGACTCCGTGATCTGGCCAGGCCAGGTAGTGGAATTGGCGCACAGAGAGAGACTGATGCTCTTTTACCTGGAAGGAAATGAGGGCTGGGGAGGGGAGTGTGGAGACTCCAGGAGTTTGTACAGTCTAGCAGGGCGGGGCGGGGTGGGGGGAGCCCCTGGGATGCACACTGCAGGGAGGCTTCTTGGGGAGTCTGGGTGGGGTTGAAGGGACTCACATGGAAGAGCTGGAGGTCCCTCACTGCCCAGTTCTCCTTCACCTCTTCATTCATCAGTGTCACCTGCAACTGCCCGTGAGTGCAGGGCTGAGAATCCAGAGGCCAGTAATGCTCACACTTCACCTGGGCAGGGAGTCAGAAAATAGAGAGCAGGGCGTGTGTGTCTGTGTGTGTGCATGCATGTGTGCGTGTGTGCGCGCACGTGCTCATGTGTGTGCATGCGTTGTGTGCATGTGTGTGTCTGTGTGTGTGTCTGTGTGTGCATGCATGTGTCTATGTGTGTGTGTGTGCACGCACGTGTGCGTGTGTGTCTGTGTGTGCATGCATGTGTCTGTGTGTGTGCGCGCACACACGCGTGTGTGTGTACTTGTGTGTCTGTGTCTGTCTGTCTGTCTGTGTGGGCACACTGTGGGAGTGAATATGCCTGTGCATGCATATGGATGTAGATGGTGAGGCTGTTGTGGACAGTCACCCTTGGCCACTCTGCATTGCACTTGCTGAGGCAGTATCTCGCTCTGAACACAGAGCTTGCCCGATATGACTGACTGTCTGGCCAGCTTGGTCCAAACGCTCAATCTCTCTGCCTTCCGAGGGCTAGAATTACAAGCGAGTCAGTATGCTCACCTGGCGTTTATGGAGGTTCTCAGGACCTGAGCTCTGGCCCCTGTGCTTACATGTTACACCCTTTATCTTCTGAACCTTCGCCCCAGCCCTGAGAACAAAACACCTTTTGTCTGTTGCTTCCCCTCCCCTCCCCCGCAGTGATTTGAAGTCAAGGATGACCTTGACTTCTGGTCCTCCTGCCTACATCTTCCAGAGTGCTGGTGAAGGGGCCAGAGCCTCCCCCAGTGCCCTGCTTTGGCAGCCATGACAGGCTGCAGAAAAGACCCAGCAAGATGTAGGCCTCTGACTCAGCAACATGTGCTTGCCTGGCCTTGGCCAACCTCCTAGTCACCAGGTCAGATACCCTCCTGTGGCAAGAAACCAATCCGAAGTTAGCCAGTGGGCTCTGGATGTGCTTTATGGTAAAAGTGGCATAACGGTGACTTGCACAGCATACCAACTGCCCTGGCCATGACAACCAGTTGACCACTCAACACAGGACAGGTTACCCAAGCCCTGAGACTGTTGTGGACCCCCTAGACACGCCCCTTGCTCTCCCCAATAAATTCCCTGCCTCTCAGCTTCTCTGGGTCCTTCTCACACCAAGCACTGTGTTAGACAGACAAGGGAACCAAGTTAAGGCAGTTAACTCATTAAACAATAAAAGACGCTTTGCTTTTGCATCAGCATGGGTCTCTTGGTGATTTTGGGGTTCAGAATTTGGGCACAACACTGGGATTGTAGGTTTGTGCCATCTCATAGGTTTATACGGTGCTGGAAACTGCACCTAGGGCCTCATGCATATTAAGCAAGTGCCAGTCTCTTCATATGTTTTTCCTAGTCAAGGCGAGGGCATGTTTGCTGCTCTGGTAACAAAGTGGGACCCAGGGGTGCCAGATCTAATAGATTCACACCAACCAAGAGGACTCCTTAGTCTCAATGTCTGTGGAGCCTTGATATAGTTTGAGTGTGCCTGCCCTAGAAACTTGTGCACTGAGGGCCTCGTTCCCAAATTCCTAGGTGAACCGCATCTGGAGATGAAGTCTACGGGAAGACAGTAGGATCCGATGACATCATCTAAACTAGGGTTAGATGAAGTCATCGGGGTAGGGCCCTCAAGAAGATATTCATGACGGCATAGGATGAGCAACGGAACGGAACTGGCATGCAGGAGGAAGACCCTCTTCCAGATGCCAGCATCATGCTCTTGAACGTCCCACGCTCCAGAAGCTCAAGACATGTGGACCTCTGTTCTCTATAAAATATCCATCTGTGGCCGTCACTCAAGCAGCAGAACACGGACCAAGACCCCTCCCCCCCCCTCAACCACCCACACACACCTATGGACAGACATTGTGAAGGTGGAGAGGATGGGGCCATGTTGAAAGACGGTTGGAGTTATATTGGAGAAATGCAGAGGTGTGTAGAAGGAACTGTACTGAGTCAGTGTCCAGGTGTGGCAGGGTCAAGGGTCGGTGCTCAAAGGTTAGCACCGGGACAGACACCTCCTCTTACCCGTCCAGACTCCATGCAGTTGGTTAGCATGACCAGGGTGTGGCTCTGCTGTTCCCACACCATACGCCAGAAATCCCCCACAGTGTGAGGCAGGGGACCCTGGGTTGCAATAAATTCCCTGGGGCTCCAGAGACCCTAGTTGAGGAAAACAGTCATGTCAAGGGGAGGGCATCAGACGACCACCGCCCCCTTCAGCTCTTTGTCTGTCCAGGCTCACTGAGTGCCCACCACCACCACCACCGCCACCTTACAGGTATGAAGCTAGCGTTGATATAGGTAGAGCCTGGTTCATCCTGGAGGGGCTTTAGGGGCACCCGGGACCAGTCATCTAGAAGAACACAGAAGCATCCGCAATGAAAGGAGAGCCGTGAGTGCTGGGCGGTGGGGTCGCGAGTCTTTAGTCCCAGCACTCGGGAGGCAGAGGCAGGCAGATTTCTGTGAGTTCGAGGCCAGCCTGGTCTACAGAGCGAGTTCCAGGATGGCCAGGGCTACAGAGAGAAATCTTGTCTGGAAAGACCACCAGGTCTTTACACCAAACCTGACGTACTGAGTTTGATTCAAGTCCTCACACGGTAGAGGGGGAGAACTGGCTGTCCTCTGACCTCCACAATTTGCTGCGCCATGCCTGTCGTAACCCCACCATAAATAAATAAATAATAGCGTGAAAAATGAATGATCCGTGGTGCTGGGGAGACGGCTTAGCGGACAAGAGCACCTGCTGCTCTTGCAGAGGACCCAGGTTCAGTTCCCAGTGCCCATGCTAGGACCACACACCCACCTGGAACTCAACTCCAGTTGGTCCAAAACTACTGGTCTCTGTGGGCGTCCGTATACAAAACACACACACACACACACACACACACACACAAATAAATAAATAAATATTTAAAAGGGGCTACTGACTGAAGAAGACGTCTGGCCTCCATATGCAGACCCATGTAAACCTGCACGCGCATGCGTGAACACACGCGCACATGCCAGGGAGGGAGAGAGAGAGCATGCACATAGGAATGCAGCTCTGGCAACCTCACCTCATGGGGAGGCAGAGGGAGTAACTAACAGAGGACACTCACAGGGCAGCACATTCCTGTAGCGGTTCTTGGATGCGTTCTCCAGAGCCGATGCTGTCGTCTGCGGCTGGCCTTGGCCCTCCAGAGACAATTGCTAGGGGCAGGGAGAGACAGAGAAGAGGTCCAAGGTGTTGGATTCCTCCTACGCCCTCATGACTCCACGTGCCCTACTCTGTTTACCCATTGAATCTTGGGACTCTGTGGCACTCACAAACATTTGGGGTATATGAGCACCCACACTTGTGAGGACTTAGGCTTCCTCAGACAGATCTGAGTAAAGTGTCAGGGTGTCCTTGTGCTTAAACCAAGCTATCGTCGGGTGGTGGTGGCGCACACCTTTAATCCCAGCACTCGGGAGGCAGAGGCAGGCGGATCTCTGTGAGTTCAAAGCCAGCCTGGTCTACAGAGTGAGTTCCTGGACAGGCTCCAAAGCTATACAGAGAAATCCTGTCTCGAAAAGCCACAAATAAATAAATAAATGAAAGAAAGAAACTGGAGAGATGGCTCAAAGGTTAAAAGAACTGGCTACTCCTAAAAAGGGCTCTGGTTCAATTCCCCGCACCCACGGGGCTTCTCACAACCATCTGTAACTCAGTTGCAGAGGACCCAATGCCCTCTTGTGGCTTCTGTACGCATTGCACATACACAGTACACATAGATAAAGCAGACAAAACACCCATACCCATAAAATAGAAATAACTAAACCAGTAAAGTTAAGGACTAGAGAGATGGCTCTGTGTTTAAGCTCAACCCAGAAAGGAGTGAAAAGCCGGGGTTTGTGGGCACCAGCTTGGAGGCCTCTGCTCTCACCCACCTGATACTCCCTGGCAAATCCATAGTTGCTATCCTTCCCGTTCTTCATGACGTGGTCAGCAAAGTCTTTGGCTAGGATGTCCCCTGGGAAGCTGTGGTGGGAAGAAGGGTAAAAAAAAAAAATGAATGAAAACTTTAAGCACCTTGTGTTGTTCTTTTGCTGCAGCTAATGCCTAAGAAACACAAACACGAGACTCAGCGCCCACGTGGAGTTTATTGAGAGAGGGGAGAGAAAGAGGGGGTAGCCGGTGGCCAACCGAAAGCAGGAGAGAGAGAGAGAGAGAAAGAGAGAGAGAGGTGTGGGGCACTTGCTTTTAAAGGGGACTTGCGCATGTGTACCTGAGTCCTCTGGCCGCCAGGTAAGCGCCAGGTAAAGCTGAGGTAGGGATGACATGGCCATGAGCGTCCCGCCCATGGGGGTCAGCTGGCTGCTAGTTCCTAACACCTTGAGCCTGAGGAGCCATCTCAGCAGGTAGCGGGTCCTAACAGGAAGTGGGGTGCTTGGTAACCACATACTGGAGAAAGACCTGACTCCCTTGGGTTGTCTCCTCACATCCAGGCATCACCCACACTCCATGAAATAAGAAAGCAAAAGAAGCCTCGTGCGTTTGGGAGGCAGAGGCAGGCAGATCTCTGCGAGTTCGAGGCCAGCGTGGCCCTACAGAGAGAGTTACAATGATGTTGATCCAGCAACGCCACGTCGGAGTAAATCTGCCAGAGAAAGGAGACACTCGAAGGTCCCTGGGTCACCATCATTCACAACAGCACAAAGGGGCAAGCTATACAAGCGTCCGTGAGCGGCCACGCATGGTCACACGCGATAGAAACCCAGTGTTTGTGACACAGAGGTACGAGGGGCTCCGAGAGTTCAAGGCCAGCCTGGGGTACATAACGAAACCTTGCCTCTAAAATAATAGGAGAAGGGCCAGCAAGATGGCTCGGCAGGCAAAGTCACTAACAGATAAGCTTGACTCCCTGGGTTTGGTATCTAGGACTCACGTGGAGGAAAGAGAGAACCAACTCCTACACACACACACACACACACCACATGCACGCACACCATAAATGTAATTTAAAACATTTAATGGATTACAAAGTGTCCACTAGTCAATGGGTGGATGAACCAAATGTGGACTACCCATGCAGGGAATATTATTCTGCCTTTGAAAGGGAGAAGATGGGGCTGTCAAAACTGCTCAGTGGTTAAGAGCACTGGCCGCTCCTGCTGAGATCCTGGCTATGACTCCCAGCACCCACATAAAGACTCAACCATCTGGGACTCCAGTTCTTGGGCCCAATGCCCTCTTCTGTCCTCTGCAGGTACTGCACACACATGGTGCACATATACACATGCAAGCAAAACATGCTTACACATTTAAAAAATTCTTTTAAACAGAAAACCCTCTCCAAACTTTCCACTCAGAAGTACATCCTTGCTTTCTTCTCCTGTAAGACTCTGCCTGCCACCTCTCTGGCATTATTCCCTAACACCTTTCCCTGCGCCCACACCATAAATCTCAAAGATGCACAATGTTCCCTAAGCACCCAGGGCGCGGCTACCTCAGCGTCTTGGCACTTGCCAGTGTCTGCCGCGGGAGAGCCCTTGCCCCGTGTACAGAGACTGGTCTCGGTCCTAGCCAGAGTAACTCCACCTTGCAGTCATATATCTGTTCTTTATCTGAGACTTCCACAAAGCAAAATGACAGAGTTTTATGAGGCTGCCGGGAACCTGGAAGCACAACTCTCCCAGAGTCTGGCTTTGTGTGTGCCTTTCTTTAAGCAGCTTGTAGTCACTTCTGCTATTTGCCCACACGGAGGCGCTCAAGGCTTAGGTTTGCATCCTTCCGGCTCTAGCCCTGCTGCAAACTAGGAGCTTGGTGGTCTATGCAGGTGTGATGGTGATTTTTCCGGGAATACAGGCATCCAGTGATATATAAGTAACCTCTAATAGACTCATTTACTCATCAAACTATGCTTGTTCGAGACCTTTGAGCTTCCAGTGCCAGCCCTGTTTGGAAGCAGGCATTTCTTTTCCACCTTCCTGGTACATCATGGAACACCCTAAAACTGTCCCAAACCCTTCTGTCTCCCCTTAGATCTTTGTTCTCCTCCCCCTCCTCCTCCCCACACACTTCTTCTTCCCCTTCTCCTCCTGCTTCTCCTCCTCCTCCCCTTTTTGGATTTTCAAGACAAGGTTCCTCTGTGTATCTTTGGAGCCTGCCCCAGAATTCTCAATCTCTCTCTCTCTCTCTCTCTCTCTCTCTCTCTCTCTCTCTCTCTCTCTCTCTCTCTCTGTCTGTCTGTCTCTCTCTGTAGACCAGGCTGGCCTGGAGCTCACAGAGATCCACCAGCCTCTGCCTCCCAAGTGCTGGGATTAAAGGCGTGCGCCACCACATCCAGCCCCCTCCTCTAGTTTTAATGCCCTGCCTAGTGTATTCCTTGATCTCCCTCTCTTCTTGCTTTGGCTCCACACATAGAGCACAGTCTACATTATCTTGCTTTTCAGCCCTTCCTGGTGCTAGAACACGCACGCACGCACACACACACACACACACACACACACACACACACACACACACGTTGAATTTGATCCCCGAGACCGGCATGTAGAAAGAGACAGCCAACTCCCACAAGAGGTCCCCTGACTTCCTTGCTTGCACTGCATAGTATGTGGACACAAATAAACGTGATACTGGCTGGTCTTCCAGAGGACTCAGGTTCAATCCCCAGTACACACACACACACACACACACACACACACACACACACACACACGACTGCTCACAAGCATCTGTATGTAACTCTAGTTCCAATGGGATCCGATGCTCTCTTCTGACCTCCGCAGGGGCCAAGACTGTGAGTAGCACACAGACACACATGCAGGCAAAACCCTGGTACACACGCGCTGTGGGATAATCCTTCTATACACTAAATATGCATTACTCTCATCGGTTAATAAAGGACTGGCAGGTAGCCAGGGAGGGAGCATTGGCAGGACAACCAAACTAAGGATGTTGGGTAGCCAGGGAGGGAGCATTGGCAGGACAACCAAACTAAGGATGCTGGGAAGGAGAGGGCAGAGTCAGAGGAGCAGCCAGCAGATTCAGGGAGAAGCAAGATGAGCAGGCCATACTGAGAAAAGGTATCAAGCCACACGGCAAAGCACAGATAAGAGATGTGGGTTAATTTTAAATGTAAGAGTTAGCCAGTAACAAGCCTGAGCTATTGGCCGAGCATTTATAATTAATATGAAGGCTCTGTGTTGTTACCTGAGATCAGGTTACGGGACAGAAACTTCCACCAACATACATAAATAAAATTTAAAATTAAGCTGAATATTATCAAATCACATTGCATATATGTATGAAATTCTTGAAGAACAATAAATGAAAATTTTAAAGGAAAAAAAGAAAAAGGAGAATGGACCCTAGGCAGGGTCTGCATACATGAGCTGTGGCCCATTGCAGAGGTCACAATCCCGAGGCCCCCACGGTTCTGCCCTCTGACCTATCCAGTGAGCAGCAAACGCCCCTCGCCTTACCTCAGATGCTCTCCCGGCCTCACTCACCTGAACACCAGATGCTTATGCGCTCCCTCCTCCTGGCTCTTCTTTCTTTTGGAAGAAAGACATGGGAATGTAAATCCCCAGCCTGAGCCCAGGGCCAGAGACATCTGGTCCTAGACATCTTCCCTGCTGGGCTCCCACTATCAAGTGCCTACCAGTCCTGTTCCAAGTCTCACCTCCTCTTCAGGAAGAAAATCAGGAGACCCACCAGGATGAAAAACAGGAGGACGCCCACGATGGCTCCCGCAATGACCCCTGCAGTGAGAAACGGAGCAGAGATTATTATAACGACGGTGACGACACGGGTTTGTGGTTCCATGTGACGTGGCATACGTGTGTAGACGTCACAGAACAATTTTTTTTATACAGCCAGTCTTTTCACCACAAGGATCCCAGGGATCAAACTCAGGTCTTGTGCGTTATGCACCTTTACCTGATGAGCCATCCTGCCGACCCAAGGCCCGGGACTTATCTACTGATTTGCTATCTCTGCCCTCAGCCAGCTCTTTGCTGAGAGGCCCACAGTGAAGATGGGCCAAAACCATGCTTTTGGACAGCACCCTCATTCCTGGGCACAGACCAGGAATTATATCTATTTATCTACTTTCTCTCTGTGTGTATGCACGCACATCAGGGTGCATAAGTGGAGGTCAGAGGGTAAATTTCAGGAGTTGGTTTTCTCCTACAACAATGTGGGACCTGGGGTTGAATCCAAGTCATCGGGCTTGGTGACCACAGCCTTCACCCTATGATGTGTCTTGGTTGGTAGAGACATACAGACCCCTGGAGCTAGCTGCCCAACCAGCACACGTCAACGAGAGACCAGGTCTCAAAAAGAAAACATAAATGTGGAGTTGTGAGTTGTGAGATGGATCCAGGTGAGGGTACTTGCCACCAGCCCTAAGGAACTGAGTCAGAAACCTGGGACCCACATGGTAGAAGGAAATAATTGACTCTTGCAATCTGTTTTCTGACCTCCACAAGTGCAATGTGGCACACACACACACCAAGAAAAATAAATAAATAAGAAAACGTTATTTAAAAATGTTAATGGGGTTGCTACATGGACAACAGCCAAGACCTGTACACACGTGTACACCCTTAGAGAGAGAAATCCGAAAACAAAAGGCAGACAGATCAAACCAAAGCAAAACACAGTAACAACAAAAACAAAACTGCATGCCCTCCCTACGTGGCAAGACCTGAACACTTGCCCGTGGGACGCTACTCACCTGCGCTCTCTGTGTAGCAGGTCACAGAGACGGATGGGGCCTTTAGTCCATTCGAGACAGTGGTGACAGTGGCCGTGTAGGACTGAGCTGGCCCAAGGTCTGACACAGACATGCCCTTCTCGCACAAATCTCCATTCTGGGAGCTTCTCTGTCTGTGCACTTCCACCTCAAAGGTCTCATAAGCTCCAGATGGGCAGGACCAGTTCAGGAAGGCCCCGTAGCCTCCAGAGGTGCTGACACAGGAGATGCTGTTGACAGCAGCGGGGACTGAGTAAAGAAGAACAAGAGGAATCAGTCTGAGCCACCTACACAAGGTGCCAGCCCACCACTTCCTCTCCAAACTCAAACACTTCATCTTCTCTTGTCCCCAAAAGACTGACGTCCTCCCAGACTACAACCCCCACAATGCCTTGGATTCTGTATCTCTGAATGTACGACGTCCCAACTTGATGGCATTATGTAATTTGTAGTCCACTCATATTTTTTTTCTCCCTTTAGAAATATTTTAATGTTGGGTGGTGGTGGCAGAGACAGGAGGATCTCTGTGAGTTTGAGGCAAGCCTGGTACAAAGTGAGTTCCGGGGCCGCCAGGGCTACACGGAGAAACCCTGTCTCAAAACACCAAAAAAAAAAAAAAAAAAAAAAAAAAGGAAGGGAAGGAGAGAGGGAGGAACATTGTGGTGTTAGGGGTCCAGAGTCTGGGCAAAACACATCATCAGTGAAACAAGTCTCTGGAGCGATTTTGGCTCTCCTCATGATGGGAACCTGCCTTTGCAACAGTGTTTCCATGGCCCAATCAGGAGGTGGGGAGGATCCCAGCTCAGTGGGAAAGGAGAACTGATGGGTTAAAGAATGTGTCAAGTGGTTCAGCCACTGAAGAAACCAGTACAGAAGTTCTTTAGAAAACTAAAACTAAAACGTTCCATACCACTCAGAAAACTAAAACTAGAACGTTCCATACCACTCAGACGTATCACCCCTGCCTGGGCATAGGTCTGAAAGAGCTTTTTTGTTTTGTCAAGTTATAAGGTATCACGTTGGCTAGGCTGGCTGGCAACTTGGTGCACAGCCAAGGGGACCCTGAACTCATGATCCTCCTGCCTCCACTCCCCAAGAGCTGGGATGCCAGGTCTGTGCCTCCACACCTGACCCAGGCTTGAAGCCAGCATTCCACAGAAATACGGTCACATCTGTGGTTACTGCTACATTGGTCACAATAGTCAAAATATAGGGCCCTCCGGAGGTCCATCCATAGACAAATTGTTAAACAAAATGTGATATCTCATACACACACACACACACACACACACACACACGTCTTACATCCTAACTAGCCCAGGTCAGAAGTTGCAATTGCTGTGAACAAATCTTCATTCTCAGAGCCAAGACTGCTCCAAGACAGATCCTGTCTTCTCCATTAAAGTCCCAAAGGGATTGTATGCTAGATCGTTGCCCAAATTCTCCTAGCCATGCTCAGGCATCACCAACAACTGTCTTTAAAATCAAAATGAGCTGGGCGGTGGTGGCACACGCCTTTAATTCCAGCACTCGGGAGGCAGAGGCAGGTGGATCTCTGTGAGTTTGAGACCAACCTGGTCTATAGAGCTAGTTACAGGACAGGTTCCAAAGCAATACAGAGAAACCCTGTCTCAAAAACCCAAATAAATAAAAAATAAAATTATATTAAAATGAATGTGAGAGGCTGTACTCCAGCACTTTGAAGACCAAGGCCAACTTAACATCACTCTTGCCTTGAAAGCATGAGGACTTGCGTTGAATTCCAAGTATTACCCCATACATTTAACTATTTATCTGTCTGTCTGTCTGTCTACCTGTCTATCTATCAATCTACCTACCTATCTATCTTCTATCACACATCTGTCTATGTCTATATGTATATATCATTCATCATCAATGTATCTATGATTATATATCTATCCATCCAGATGTGTGATTTCCATTACTTCTACTGAATCTTAGATCATGCCCCAGTATCCTCTAACCTTTCACCACACCCCTTTAAGAAAAAAAAGAATAAAAGAGTATCCTCTCTCACCTGTGGAGTTAGTGATGTTCACTCTAGAGCTGTTGACTCCATTTTTTTCCACCCACACAGAACATTCATATAAAGAGCCAGGATCCAGTCCATCCACGGTGACATTGGTGTCTGTTGTGCTTGAATTCCTACTTTCCGCACCTTCACTACTGCAGTGGGCCCAGTAGGTGAGGTCCTGAGAGGGGTGGTCCTCAGGGACATCCCACCTCAGGCTGATGGAGCTGGTGGTCTGAGATTTCACCCTGAGGTCTCTCACTGGGTTTGGAGCTGCAATGGAGACAGAAAGGGACATGAGGTCTTGACCCTGGTCCTCAACTTTCTATTCCTTCAGAACCCAGTAGCAAAGATGGGTTAATGGAAACCTAGAATGTCCAATATGGCAGCACACTTTCCTTTTGCTGTTTAAGCTTTTAGAATGTGACGGTTGATACTAGGAAGCCAGGGAGAGTCAGTGCACAGAGGTGGGAAAATTTGATCACTGGATTAAGATTGTCAGACCTAGCAAGGCATGGTGGCTCATGTCTGTAAATCTAGTACTTGGGAAGTGAGGCAGGAGGATTGCTACACATTTGGGACCAGAACTGGTCTACATAGTAAGATACTGTTCAAGGAAAGAAGAAAGGAGGAAAATGGGAAAAAAATGTCCCTCCAAGCTCAGACCATTGTGTTTATAAATTAGGGGTAAAATGTACAAATGAGAGATTCAAAAATCTCATAAAATCTGGCATTTGTGGCGCTGGCATTATATCCCAGCACTTGGAGGGAGGTGCAGGTGAATCTCTGTGAGTTGGAAGCCAGTCTAGTCTAAACAGAGTTGAAGGACAGTCAGGGCTCCATAGAGACACCATGTTTCAAAGGATCAAAATGAAGAAAAAAACCAAAAACTCTCATGAAGATCAATGGCATCTTTCTCCTGTCTTTTCCTTTGTTCTAAGTTGGCTGATACGGACTGGAGAGTGAGTATGTGGCTCCCTTTCTTCTTCAGGACCTTCCTCTGTCGGCTCCCAAACACCCTCTAAGCACATACCATTTCCATCACAGGGATCAGAGACCAGATGTGAGGCTGCAGACATGGCTCAGCGCTCAACAGCATTCCCTGCTGTTGCTGAGGACCCAGGTTCTGATCCCAGCATCCCGGGGTAGCTCACAACTGTCTGCTGACTTCTAATGGACCCTCCCCCCTCTGCTGGCCCCAAGGACCATGCATGCATCTGGTCCTGATGGACATGGGCAGACAATGCACTCAGATACATAAAATAAAAGTAGATGAAATCCTTTTAAAGGGTCAAGGAGGTGTCATGGTGCACATCTACATCACAGGCATGTAGGAAGTGCTTGTGGAGGGTCATGAGATCCAGGCCAGAAAACGGATAGGAAGGGTGTGAAAGGAAATAGTGTCTGCTCTCACCTGTGGAGGCATTTAGAGTCTCTGTGGAGCTGTTGACTCCATCTCTTTCCACCCACACAGAACATTCATATAAAGAGCCAGGATCCAGTCCATCCACGGTGACATTGGTGTCTCTTGTGCTTGGATTCCTACTTTCCGAACCTTCTCTACTGCAGTGGGCCCAGTAGGTTAGGTCCTGGGAGGGGTGGCCCTCAGGGACATCCCACCTCAGGCTGATGGAGCTGGTGGTCTGAGATTTCACCTTGAGTTCTCTCACTGGGTTTGGAGCTGCAATAAGACACAAGGGGACATGAGGTCTTGACCCTGGTCCTCAACTTTCTATCCCTTCAGAACCCAGTAGCAAAGTTGGGTTAATGGAAACCTAGAATGTCCAATATGGCAGCACACTTTCCTTTTGCTGTTTGAGCTCTTAGAATGTGACAGTTGACACTAGGAAGCCAGTGAGAGTCAGTGCACAGAGGTGGGAAAATTTTAACACTGGATTAAGAATGTCAGACCTAGCAAGGCATGGTGGCTCATGTCTGTAAATTCAGTTCAGGGGAAGCAGAGGCAGGGGGGATTGCTACACATTGGAGACTACCATCAACCATATAGTAAGATCATGTTCAAAGAAGGAAGAAAGGAGGAAAAACATAATAAAATTGTCCTACCAACCCCAACCTCCTTGCTTTTAGAAATGTGTGTTGCATGTACAAATGAGATGTTCTAGATCTTACAAAAATCACATGAAGCTGGACAGTGGCAGTCCTGGCCTTTAATCCCAGTACCAGGAGGTAGAAGCAGGTGACACCTGGTCGTTGGAGGCCAGCTTAGTCTAAAGAGAGATGGAGGACACCCATGGCTACCCAGAGACACCTTCAAAAATTCAAAAAGAAGACAGAATCTCTCATGAAGATCAATAGCATCTTTCTCCTGTCTTTTCCTTTGTTCTAAGTTGGCTGATACACACTAGAGAGTGAGTATGTGGCTCCCTTTCTTCTTCAGGACCTTCCTCTGTCGGCTCCCAAACACCCTCTAAGCACATACCATTTCCATCACAGGGATCAGAGACCAGATGTGAGGCTGCAGACATGGCTCAGTGCTCAACAGCATTCCCTGCTGTTGCTGAGGACCCAGGTTCTGTTCCCAGCATCCCGGGGAAGCTCACAACTATCTGCTGACTTCTAATGCACCCTCCCCCCTCTGCTGGCCGCAAGGACCATGCATGCATCTGGTCCCGATGGACATGGGCAGACAATGCACTCAGATACATAAAATAAAAGTAGATGAAATCCTTTTAAAGAGTCAAGGAGGTGGCATGGTGCACATCTACATCACAGGCATGTAGCAAGTGCTGGTGGAGGGTGGTGAGGTCCAGGCCAGAAAACAGATAGGAGGGGTGTGAAAGGAAATAGTGTCTGCTCTCACCTGTGGAGGCATTTAGAGTCTCTGTGGAGCTGTTGACTCCATCTCTTTCCACCCACACAGAACATTCATATGAAGAGCCAGGATCAAGTCCATCCACGGTGACATTGGTGACTGTTGTATTCCGGGTGTTAATTTTACCACCTTCTTTACTGCACTGGGCCCAGTAGGTGAGGTCCTGGGAGGGGTGGTCCTCAGGGACATCCCACCTCAGGCTGATGGAGCTGGTGGTCTGAGATTCCACCCTGAGGTCTCTCACTGGGTTTGGAGCTGCAATGGAGACACAAGGGGACATGAGGTCTTGACCCTGGTCCTCAACTTTCTATCCCTTCAGAACCGAGTAGCAAAGTTGGGTTAATGGAAACCTAGAATGTCCAATATGGCAGCACACTTTCCTTTTGCTGTTTGAGCTCTTAGAATGTGACAGTTGACACTAGGAAGCCAGTGAGAGTCAGTGCACAGAGGTGGGAAAATTTTATCACTGGATTAAGAATGTCAGACCTAGCAAGGCATGGTGGCTCATATCTGTAAATTCAGTTCAGGGGAAGCAGAGGCAGGAGGATTGCTACACATTGGAGACTGCAGCCAACCATATAGTAAGATCACTTTCAAAGAAGGAAGAAAGGAGGAAGAATATAATAAAATTGTCCTACCAACCCCAACTTCCTTGCTTTTACAAATATGGGTTGCATGTACAAATGAGATGTTCTAGATCTTTCAAAAATCTCATGAAGCTGGACAGTGGCAGTGCTGGCCCTTAATCCCAGTACAGGGAGGTAGAAGCAGGTGACACCTGGTCATTGGAGGCCAGCTTAGTCTAAAGAGAGATGGAGGACTGCCAAAGCTACACGGAGACACCTTGCTTCAAAATTTCAAAAGGAAGACACAATCTCTCATGAAGATCAATGGCATCTTTCTCCTGTCTTTTCCTTTGTTCTAAGTTGGCTGATACAGACTTGAGAGTGAGTATGTGGCTCCCTTTCTTCTTCAGGACCTTCCTCTGTCGGCTCCCAAACACCCTCTAAGCACATACCATTTCCATCACAGGGATCAGAGACCAGATGTGAGGCTGCAGACATGGCTAAGCGCTCAACAGCATTCCTTGCTGTTGCTGAGGACCCAGGTTCTGATCCCAGCATCCCGGGGTAGCTCACAACTGTCTGCTAACTTCTAATGGACCCTCCCCCCTCGGCTGGCCCCAAGGACCATGCATGCATCTGGTCCTGATGGACATGGCAGACAATGCACTCAGATACATAAAATAAAAGTAGATGAAATCCTTTTAAAGGGTCAAGGAGGTGGCATGGTGCATATCTACATCACAGGCATGTAGGAAGTTCTTGTGGAGGGTGGTGAGGTCCAGGCCAGAAAATGGATAGGAAGGGTGTGAACGGAAATAGTGTCTGCTCTCACCTGTGGAGGCATTTAGAGTCTCTGTGGAGCTGTTGACTCCATCTCTTTCCACCCACACAGAACATTCATATGAAGAGCCAGGATCCAGTCCATCCACGGTGACGTTGGTGACTGTTGTGCTTGGATTCCTACTTTCCGCACCTTCTCTACTGCACTGGGCCCAGTAGGTGAGGTCCTGGGAGAGGTGGCCCTCAGGGACATCCCACCTCAGGCTGATGGAGCTGGTGGTCTGAGATTCCAGCCTGAGGTCTCTCACTGGTCTTGGAGCTGCAATGGAGACAGAAGGGGACATGAGGTCTTGACCCTGGTCCTCAACTTTCTATCCCTTCAGAACCCAGTAGCAAAGTTGGGTTAATGGAAACCTAGAATGTCCAATATGGCAGCGCACTGTCCTTTTGCTGTTTAAGCTCTTAGAATGTGACAGTTGACACTAGGAAGCCAGTGAGAGTCAGTGCACAGAGGTGGGAAAATTTTATCAATGGATTAAGATTGTCAGACCTAGCAAGGCATGGTGGCTCATGTCTGTAAATTCAGTTCAGGGGAAGCAGAGGCAGGAGGATTGCTACACATTGGAGACTGCAGCCAACCATATAGTAAGATCACTTTCAAAGAAGGAAGAAAGGAGGAAGAATATAATAAAATTGTCCTACCAACCCCAACCTCCTTGCTTTTAGAAATGTGGGTTGCATGTACAAATGAGATGTTCTAGATCTTTCAAAAATCTCATGAAGCTGGACAGTGGCAGTGCTGGCCCTTAATCCCAGTACCGGGAGGTAGAAGCAGGTGACACCTGGTCATTGGAGGCCAGCTTAGTCTAAAGAGAGATGGAGGACACCCATGGCTACCCAGAGACACCTTCAAAAATTCAAAAAGAAGACAGAATCTCTCATGAAGATCAATGGCATCTTTCTCCTGTCTTTTCCTTTGTTCTAAGTTGGCTGATACAGACTGGAGAGTGAGTATGTGGCTCCCTTTCTTCTTCAGGACCTTCCTCTGTCGGCTCCCAAACACCCTCTAAGCACATACCATTTCCATCACAGGGATCAGAGACCAGATGTGAGGCTGCAGACATGGCTCAGCGCTCAACAGCATTCCCTGCTGTTGCTGAGGACCCAGGTTCTGCTCCCAGCATCCCGGGGAAGCTAAACTGTCTGCTAACTTCTAATGGACCCTCCCCCATCTGCTGGCCCCAAGGACCATGCATGCATCTGGTCCCAATGGACATGGGCAGACAATGCACTCAGATACATAAAATAAGAGTAGATGAAATCCTTTTAAAGAGTCAAGGAGGTGGCATGGTGCACATCTACATCACAGGCATGTAGGAAGTTCTTGTGGAGGGTCATGAGGTCCAGGCCAGAAAACGGATAGGAAGGGTGTGAAAGGAAATAGTGTCTGCTCTCACCTGTGGAGGCATTTAGAGTCTCTGTGGAGCTGTTGACTCCATCTCTTTCCACCCACACAGAACATTCATATGAAGAGCCAGGATCCAGTCCATCCACGGTGACATTGTTGTCTCTTGTGCTTGGATTCCGGGTACTTTCCACACCTTCTTTACTGCACTGGGCCCAGTAGGTGAGGTCCTGGGAGGGGTGGTCATCAGGGACATCCCAGCTCAGACTGATGGAGCTGGTGGTCTGAGATTCCACCCTGAGGTCTCTCACTGGGTTTGGAGCTGCAATGGAGACAGAAGGGGACATGAGGTCTTGACCCTGGTCCTCAACTTTCTATCCCTTCAGAACCCAGTAGCAAAGTTGGGTTAATGGAAACCTAGAATGTCCAATATGGCAGCACACTTTCCTTTTGCTGTTTAAGCTCTTAGAATGTGACAGTTGACACTAGGAAGCCAGTGAGAGTCAGTGCACAGAGGTGGGAAAATTTTATCACCGGATTAAGAATGTCAGACCTAGCAAGGCATGGTGGCTCATGTCTCTAAATCCAGTACTTGGGAAGTAGAGGCAGGAGGATTGCTACACATTTGGGACCAGAACTGGTCTACATAGTAAGATACTGTTCAAGGAAAGAAGAAAGGAGGAAAATGGGAAAAAAATTGTCCTACCAAGCTCAGACCACTTGTGTTTATAAATTAGGGGTAAAATGTACAAATGAGAGCTGATCTTTCAAAAATCTCATAAAATCTGGCATTTGTGGCGTGCTGGCCTTATATCCCAGCACTTGGAGGGAGGTGCAGGTGAATCTCTGGTGAGTTGGAAGCCAGTCTAGTCTAAACAGAGTTGAAGGACAGTGAGGGCTCCATAGAGACACCATGTTTCAAAGGATCAAAATGAAGAAAAAAACCAAAAACTCTCATGAAGATCAATGGCATCTTTCTCCTGTCTTTTCCTTTGTTCTAAGTTGGCTGATACAGACTGGAGAATGAGTATGTGGCTTCCTTTCTTCTTCAGGACCTTCCTCTGTCGGCTCCCAAACACCCTCTAAGCACATACCATTTCCATCACAGGGATCAGAGACCAGATGTGAGGCTGCAGACATGGCTCAGCGCTCAACAGCATTCCCTCCTGTTGCTGAGGGCCCAGGTTCTGATCCCAGCATCCCGGGGTAGCTCACAACTGTCTGCTGACTTCTAATGGACCCTCCCCCCTCTGCTGGCCCCAAGGACCATGCATGCATCTGGTACCCTTGCACATGGGCAGACAATGCACTCAGATACATAAAATAAAGTAGATGAAATCCTTTTAAAGAGTCAAGGAGGTGGCATGGTGCACATCTACATCACAGGCATGTAGCAAGTGCTTGTGGAGGGTGGTGAGGTCCAGGCCAGAAAATGGATAGGAGGGGTGTGAAAGGAAATAGTGTCTGCTCTCACCTGTGGAGGCATTTAGAGTCTCTGTGGAGCTGTTGACTCCATCTCTTTCCACCCACACAGAACATTCATATGAAGAGCCAGGATCCAGTCCATCCACAGCGACATTGGTGACTGTTGTATTCCGGGTGTTAATTTTACCACCTTCTCTACTGCACTGGGCCCAGTAGGTGAGGTCCTGGGAGGGGTGGTCCTCAGGGACATCCCACCTCAGGCTGATGGAGCTGGTGGTCTGAGATTCCACCCTGAGGTCTCTCACTGGTTTTGGAGCTGCAATGGAGACAGAAGGGGACATGAGGTCTTGACTCCGGTCCTCAACTTTCTATCCCTTCAGAACCCAGTAGCAAAGTTGGGTTAATGGAAGCCTAGAATGTCCAATATGGCAGCACACTTTCCTTTTGCTGTTTGAGCTCTTAGAATGTGACAGTTGACACTAGGAAGCCAGTGAGAGTCAGTGCACAAAGGTGGGAAATTTTTATCACCGGATTAAGAATGTCAGACCTAGCAAGGCATGGTGGCTCATGTCTGTAAATCTAGTACTTGGGAAGTGAGGCAGGAGGATTGCTACACATTTGGGACCAGAACTGGTCTACATAGTAAGATACTGTTCAAGGAAAGAAGAAAGGAGGAAAATGGGAAAAAAAATGTCCCTCCAAGCTCAGACCATTGTGTTTATAAATTAGGGGTAAAATGTACAAATGAGAGAATCAAAAATCTCATAAAATCTGGCATTTGTGGCGCTGGCCTTATATCCCAGCACTTGGAGAGAGGTGCAGGTGAATCTCTGTGAGTTGGAAGCCAGTCTAGTCTAAACAGAGTTGAAGGACAGTGAGGGCTCCATAGAGACACCATGTTTCAAAGGATCAAAATGAAGAAAAAAACCAAAAACTCTCATGAAGATCAATGGCATCTTTCTCCTGTCTTTTCCTTTGTTCTAAGTTGGCTGATACAGACTGGAGAGTGAGTATGTGGCTTCCTTTCTTCTTCAGGACCTTCCTCTGTCGGCTCCCAAACACCCTCTAAGCACATACCATTTCCATCACAGGGATCAGAGACCAGATGTGAGGCTGCAGACATGGCTCAGCGCTCAACAGCATTCCCTGCTGTTGCTGAGGACCCAGGTTCTGATCCCAGCATCCCGGGGTAGCTCACAACTGTCTGCTAACTTCTAATGGACCCTCCCCCCTCTGCTGACCCCAAGGACCATGCATGCATCTGGTCCTGATGGACATGGCAGACAATGCACTCAGATACATAAAATAAAAGTAGATGAAATCCTTTTAAAGGGTCAAGGAGGTGTCATGGTACACAGCTATAACACAGGCATGTAGGAAGTGCTGGTAGGAGGGTGGTGAGATCCAGGCCAGAAAACGGATAGGAGGGGTGTGAAAGGAAATAGTGTCTTCTCTCACCTGTGGAGGCATTTAGAGTCTCTGTGGAGCTGTTGACTCCATCTCTTTCCACCCACACAGAACATTCATATAAAGAGCCAGGATCCAGTCCATCCACGGTGACATTGGTGTCTCTTGTGCTTGGATTCCTACTTTCCGAACCTTCTCTACTGCAGTGGGCCCAGTAGGTTAGGTCCTGGGAGGGGTGGCCCTCAGGGACATCCCACCTCAGGCTGATGGAGCTGGTGGTCTGAGATTTCACCTTGAGGTCTCTCACTGGGTTTGGAGCTGCAATGGAGACACAAGGGGACATGAGGTCTTGACCCTGGTCCTCAACTTTCTATCCCTTCAGAACCCAGTAGCAAAGTTGGGTTAATGGAAACCTAGAATGTCCAATATGGCAGCACACTTTCCTTTTGCTGTTTGAGCTCTTAGAATGTGACAGTTGACACTAGGAAGCCAGTGAGAGTCAGTGCACAGAGGTGGGAAAATTTTAACACTGGATTAAGAATGTCAGACCTAGCAAGGCATGGTGGCTCATGTCTGTAAATTCAGTTCAGGGGAAGCAGAGGCAGGGGGATTGCTACACATTGGAGACTACCATCAACCATATAGTAAGATCATGTTCAAAGAAGGAAGAAAGGAGGAAAAACATAATAAAATTGTCCTACCAACCCCAACCTCCTTGCTTTTAGAAATGTGTGTTGCATGTACAAATGAGATGTTCTAGATCTTACAAAAATCACATGAAGCTGGACAGTGGCAGTCCTGGCCTTTAATCCCAGTACCAGGAGGTAGAAGCAGGTGACACCTGGTCGTTGGAGGCCAGCTTAGTCTAAAGAGAGATGGAGGACACCCATGGCTACCCAGAGACACCTTCAAAAATTCAAAAAGAAGACAGAATCTCTCATGAAGATCAATAGCATCTTTCTCCTGTCTTTTCCTTTGTTCTAAGTTGGCTGATACACACTAGAGAGTGAGTATGTGGCTCCCTTTCTTCTTCAGGACCTTCCTCTGTCGGCTCCCAAACACCCTCTAAGCACATACCATTTCCATCACAGGGATCAGAGACCAGATGTGAGGCTGCAGATATGGCTCAGCGCTCAACAGCATTCCCTGCTGTTGCTGAGGACCCAGGTTCTGATCCCAGCATCCCGGGGTAGCTCACAACTATCTGCTAACTTCTAATGGACCCTCCCCCCTCTGCTGGCCCCAAGGACCATGCATGCATCTGGTCCTGATGGACATGGGCAGACAATGCACTCAGATACATAAAATAAAAGTAGATGAAATCCTTTTAAAGGGTCAAGGAGGTGTCATGGTACACAGCTATAACACAGGCATGTAGGAAGTGCTGGTGGAGGGTGGTGAGATCCAGGCCAGAAAACGGATAGGAGGGGTGTGAAAGGAAATAGTGTCTTCTCTCACCTGTGGAGGCATTTAGAGTCTCTGTGGAGCTGTTGACTCCATCTCTTTCCACCCACACAGAACATTCATATAAAGAGCCAGGATCCAGTCCATCCACGGTGACATTGGTGTCTCTTGTGCTTGGATTCCTACTTTCCGCACCTTCTCTACTGCACTGGGCCCAGTAGGTTAGGTCCTGGGAGGGGTGGCCCTCAGGGACATCCCACCTCAGGCTGATGGAGCTGGTGGTCTGAGATTTCACCTTGAGGTCTCTCACTGGGTTTGGAGCTGCAATGGAGACACAAGGGGACATGAGGTCTTGACCCTGGTCCTCAACTTTCTATCCCTTCAGAACCCAGTAGCAAAGTTGGGTTAATGGAAACCTAGAATGTCCAATATGGCAGCACACTTTCCTTTTGCTGTTTGAGCTCTTAGAATGTGACAGTTGACACTAGGAAGCCAGTGAGAGTCAGTGCACAGAGGTGGGAAAATTTTAACACTGGATTAAGAATGTCAGACCTAGCAAGGCATGGTGGCTCATGTCTGTAAATTCAGTTCAGGGGAAGCAGAGGCAGGGGGATTGCTACACATTGGAGACTACCATCAACCATATAGTAAGATCATGTTCAAAGAAGGAAGAAAGGAGGAAAAACATAATAAAATTGTCCTACCAACCCCAACCTCCTTGCTTTTAGAAATGTGTGTTGCATGTACAAATGAGATGTTCTAGATCTTACAAAAATCACATGAAGCTGGACAGTGGCAGTCCTGGCCTTTAATCCCAGTACCAGGAGGTAGAAGCAGGTGACACCTGGTCGTTGGAGGCCAGCTTAGTCTAAAGAGAGATGGAGGACACCCATGGCTACCCAGAGACACCTTCAAAAATTCAAAAAGAAGACAGAATCTCTCATGAAGATCAATAGCATCTTTCTCCTGTCTTTTCCTTTGTTCTAAGTTGGCTGATACACACTAGAGAGTGAGTATGTGGCTCCCTTTCTTCTTCAGGACCTTCCTCTGTCGGCTCCCAAACACCCTCTAAGCACATACCATTTCCATCACAGGGATCAGAGACCAGATGTGAGGCTGCAGACATGGCTAAGCGCTCAACAGCATTCCTTGCTGTTGCTGAGGACCCAGGTTCTGATCCCAGCATCCCGGGGTAGCTCACAACTGTCTGCTAACTTCTAATGGACCCTCCCCCCTCTGCTGGCCCCAAGGACCATGCATGCATCTGGTCCTGATGGACATGGCAGACAATGCACTCAGATACATAAAATAAAAGTAGATGAAATCCTTTTAAAGAGTCAAGGAGGTGGCATGGTACACAGCTATAACACAGGCATGTAGGAAGTGCTTGTGGAGGGTCATGAGGTCCAGGCCAGAAAATGGATAGGAAGGGTGTGAAAGGAAATAGTGTCTGCTCTCACCTGTGGAGGCATTTAGAGTCTCTGTGGAGCTGTTGACTCCATCTCTTTCCACCCACACAGAACATTCATATGAAGAGCCAGGATCCAGTCCATCCACGGTGACATTGTTGTCTCTTGTGCTTGGATTCCTACTTTCCACACCTTCTTTACTGCACTGGGCCCAGTAGGTGAGGTCCTGCGAGGGGTGGTCATCAGGGACATCCCAGCTCAGACTGATGGAGCTGGTGGTCTGAGATTCCACCCTGAGGTCTCTCACTGGGTTTGGAGCTGCAATGGAGACAGAAGGGGACATGAGGTCTTGACCCTGGTCCTCAACTTTCTATCCCTTCAGAACCCAGTAGCAAAGTTGGGTTAATGGAAACCTAGAATGTCCAATATGGCAGCACACTTTCCTTTTGCTGTTTAAGCTCTTAGAATGTGACGGTTGACACTAGGAAGCCAGTGAGAGTCAGTGCACAGAGGTGGGAAAATTTTATCACCGGATTAAGAATGTCAGACCTAGCAAGGCATGGTGGCTCATGTCTCTAAATCTAGTACTTGGGAAGTGAGGCAGGAGGATTGCTACACATTTGGGACCAGAACTGGTCTACATAGTAAGATACTGTTCAAGGAAAGAAGAAAGGAGGAAAATGGGAAAAAAATGTCCCTCCAAGCTCAGACCATTGTGTTTATAAATTAGGGGTAAAATGTACAAATGAGAGATTCAAAAATCTCATAAAATCTGGCATTTGTGGCGCTGGCCTTATATCCCAGCACTTGGAGGGAGGTGCAGGTGAATCTCTGTGAGTTGGAAGCCAGTCTAGTCTAAACAGAGTTGAAGGACAGTGAGGGCTCCATAGAGACACCATGTTTCAAAGGATCAAAATGAAGAAAAAACCAAAAACTCTCATGAAGATCAATGGCATCTTTCTCCTGTCTTTTCCTTTGTTCTAAGTTGGCTGATACAGACTGGAGAATGAGTATGTGGCTTCCTTTCTTCTTCAGGACCTTCCTCTGTCGGCTCCCAAACACCCTCTAAGCACATACCATTTCCATCACAGGGATCAGAGACCAGATGTGAGGCTGCAGACATGGCTCAGCGCTCAACAGCATTCCCTCCTGTTGCTGAGGGCCCAGGTTCTGATCCCAGCATCCCGGGGTAGCTCACAACTGTCTGCTGACTTCTAATGGACCCTCCCCCCTCTGCTGGCCCCAAGGACCATGCATGCATCTGGTACCCTTGCACATGGGCAGACAATGCACTCAGATACATAAAATAAAGTAGATGAAATCCTTTTAAAGAGTCAAGGAGGTGGCATGGTGCACATCTACATCACAGGCATGTAGGAAGTTCTTGTGGAGGGTCATGAGGTCCAGGCCAGAAAACGGATAGGAAGGGTGTGAAAGGAAATAGTGTCTGCTCTCACCTGTGGAGGCATTTAGAGTCTCTGTGGAGCTGTTGACTCCATCTCTTTCCACCCACACAGAACATTCATATGAAGAGCCAGGATCCAGTCCATCCACGGTGACATTGGTGTCTCTTGTGCTTGGATTCCTACTTTCCACACCTTCTTTACTGCACTGGGCCCAGTAGGTGAGGTCCTGCGAGGGGTGGTCATCAGGGACATCCCAGCTCAGGCTGATGGAGCTGGTGGTCTGAGATTCCACCCTGAGGTCTCTCACTGGGTTTGGAGCTGCAATGGAGACAGAAGGGGACATGAGGTCTTGACCCTGGTCCTCAACTTTCTATCCCTTCAGAACCCAGTAGCAAAGTTGGGTTAATGGAAACCTAGAATGTCCAATATGGCAGCACACTTTCCTTTTGCTGTTTAAGCTCTTAGAATGTGACGGTTGACACTAGGAAGCCAGTGAGAGTCAGTGCACAGAGGTGGGAAAATTTTATCACCGGATTAAGAATGTCAGACCTAGCAAGGCATGGTGGCTCATGTCTCTAAATCTAGTACTTGGGAAGTGAGGCAGGAGGATTGCTACACATTTGGGACCAGAACTGGTCTACATAGTAAGATACTGTTCAAGGAAAGAAGAAAGGAGGAAAATGGGAAAAAAATGTCCCTCCAAGCTCAGACCATTGTGTTTATAAATTAGGGGTAAAATGTACAAATGAGAGATTCAAAAATCTCATAAAATCTGGCATTTGTGGCGCTGGCCTTATATCCCAGCACTTGGAGGGAGGTGCAGGTGAATCTCTGTGAGTTGGAAGCCAGTCTAGTCTAAACAGAGTTGAAGGACAGTGAGGGCTCCATAGAGACACCATGTTTCAAAGGATCAAAATGAAGAAAAAAACCAAAAACTCTCATGAAGATCAATGGCATCTTTCTCCTGTCTTTTCCTTTGTTCTAAGTTGGCTGATACAGACTGGAGAATGAGTATGTGGCTTCCTTTCTTCTTCAGGACCTTCCTCTGTCGGCTCCCAAACACCCTCTAAGCACATACCATTTCCATCACAGGGATCAGAGACCAGATGTGAGGCTGCAGACATGGCTCAGCGCTCAACAGCATTCCCTCCTGTTGCTGAGGGCCCAGGTTCTGATCCCAGCATCCCGGGGTAGCTCACAACTGTCTGCTGACTTCTAATGGACCCTCCCCCTCTGCTGGCCCCAAGGACCATGCATGCATCTGGTACCCTTGCACATGGGCAGACAATGCACTCAGATACATAAAATAAAGTAGATGAAATCCTTTTAAAGAGTCAAGGAGGTGGCATGGTGCACATCTACATCACAGGCATGTAGCAAGTGCTTGTGGAGGGTGGTGAGGTCCAGGCCAGAAAATGGATAGGAGGGGTGTGAAAGGAAATAGTGTCTGCTCTCACCTGTGGAGGCATTTAGAGTCTCTGTGGAGCTGTTGACTCCATCTCTTTCCACCCACACAGAACATTCATATGAAGAGCCAGGATCCAGTCCATCCACAGCGACATTGGTGACTGTTGTATTCCGGGTGTTAATTTTACCACCTTCTCTACTGCACTGGGCCCAGTAGGTGAGGTCCTGGGAGGGGTGGTCCTCAGGGACATCCCACCTCAGGCTGATGGAGCTGGTGGTCTGAGATTCCACCCTGAGGTCTCTCACTGGTTTTGGAGCTGCAATGGAGACAGAAGGGGACATGAGGTCTTGACTCCGGTCCTCAACTTTCTATCCCTTCAGAACCCAGTAGCAAAGTTGGGTTAATGGAAGCCTAGAATGTCCAATATGGCAGCACACTTTCCTTTTGCTGTTTGAGCTCTTAGAATGTGACAGTTGACACTAGGAAGCCAGTGAGAGTCAGTGCACAAAGGTGGGAAATTTTTATCACCGGATTAAGAATGTCAGACCTAGCAAGGCATGGTGGATCATGTCTGTAAATTCAGTTCAGGGGAAGCAGAGGCAGGAGGATTGCTACACATTGGAGACTACCATCAACCATATAGTAAGATCATGTTCAAAGAAGGAAGAAAGGAGGAAAAATATAATAAAATTGTCCTACCAACCCCAACCTCCTTGCTTTTAGAAATGTGGGTTGCATGTACAAATGAGATGTTCTAGATCTTTCAAAAATCTCATGAAGCTGGACAGTGGCAGTGCTGGCCCTTAATCCCAGTACCGGGAGGTAGAAGCAGGTGACACCTGGTCATTGGAGGCCAGCTTAGTCTAAAGAGAGTTGGAGGACACCCATGGCTACCCAGAGACACCTTCAAAAATTCAAAAAGAAGACAGAATCTCTCATGAAGATCAATGGCATCTTTCTCCTGTCTTTTCCTTTGTTCTAAGTTGGCTGATACGGACTGGAGAGTGAGTATGTGGCTTCCTTTCTTCTTCAAGACCTTCCTCTGTCGGCTCCCAAACACCCTCTAAGCACATACCATTTCCATCACAGGGATCAGAGACCAGATGTGAGGCTGCAGACATGGCTCAGCGCTCAATAGCATTCCCTGCTGTTGCTGAGGGCCCAGGTTCTGATCCCAGCATCCCGGGGAAGCTCACAACTGTCTGCTGACTTCTAATGGACCCTCCCCCCTCTGCTGGCCCCAAGGACCATGCATGCATCTGGTCCCGATGGACATGGGCAGACAATGCACTCAGATACATAAAATAAAAGTAGATGAAATCCTTTTAAAGAGTCAAGGAGGTGGCATGGTGCACATCTACATCACAGGCATGTAGCAAGTGCTTGTGGAGGGTGGTGAGGTCCAGGCCAGAAAACGGATAGGAGGGGTGTGAAAGGAAATAGTGTCTGCTCTCACCTGTGGAGGCATTTAGAGTCTCTGTAGAGCTGTTGACTCCATCTCTTTCCACCCACACAGAACATTCATATGAAGAGCCAGGATCCAGTCCATCCACGGTGACATTGGTGATTGTTGTATTCCGGGTGTTAATTTTACCACCTTCTTTTCTGCAGTGGGCCCAGTAGGTGAGGTCCTGGGAGGGGTGGTCCTCAGGGACATCCCACCTCAGGCTGATGGAGCTGGTGGTCTGAGATTTCACCTTGAGGTCTCTCACTGGGTTTGGAGCTGCAATGGATTCAGAAGGGGACATGAGGTCTTGACCCTGGTCCTCAACTTTCTATCCCTTCAGAACCCAGTAGCAAAGTTGGGTTAATGGAAGCCTAGAATGTCCAATATGGCAGCACACTTTCCTTTTCCTGTTTGAGCTCTTAGAATGTGACAGTTGACACTAGGAAGCCAGTGAGAGTCAGTGCACAGAGGTGGGAAAATTTTAACACCGGATTAAGAATGTCAGACCTAGCAAGGCATGGTGGCTCATGTCTGTAAATCTAGTACTTGGGAAGTGAGGCAGGAGGATTGCTACACATTTGGGACCAGAACTGGTCTACATAGTAAGATACTGTTCAAGGAAAGAAGAAAGGAGGAAAATGGGAAAAAAAAAGTCCCTCCAAGCTCAGACCATTGTGTTTATAAATTAGGGGTAAAATGTACAAATGAGAGAATCAAAAATCTCATAAAATCTGGCATTTGTGGCGCTGGCCTTATATCCCAGCACTTGGAGGGAGGTGCAGGTGAATCTCTGTGAGTTGGAAGCCAGTCTAGTCTAAACAGAGTTGAAGGACAGTGAGGGCTCCATAGAGACACCATGTTTCAAAGGATCAAAATGAAGAAAAAAACAAAAAACTCTCATGAAGATCAATGGCATCTTTCTCCTGTCTTTTCCTTTGTTCTAAGTTGGCTGATACAGACTGGAGAGTGAGTATGTGGCTTCCTTTCTTCTTCAGGACCTTCCTCTGTCGGCTCCCAAACACCCTCTAAGCACATACCATTTCCATCACAGGGATCAGAGACCAGATGTGAGGCTGCAGACATGGCTCAGCGCTCAACAGCATTCCCTGCTGTTGCTGAGGACCCAGGTTCTGCTCCCAGCATCCCGGGGAAGCTCACAACTGTCTGCTGACTTCTAATGGACCCTCCCCCCTCTGCTGGCTCCAAGGACCATGCATGCATCTGGTCCCGATGGACATGGGCAGACAATGCACTCAGATACATAAAATAAAAGTAGATAAAATCCTTTTAAAGAGTCAAGGAGGTGGCATGGTGCACATCTACATCACAGGCATGTAGGAAGTTCTTGTGGAGGGTCATGAGGTCCAGGCCAGAAAACGGATAGGAAGGGTGTGAAAGGAAATAGTGTCTGCTCTCACCTGTGGAGGCATTTAGAGTCTCTGTGGAGCTGTTGACTCCATCTCTTTCCACCCACACAGAACATTCATATGAAGAGCCAGGATCCAGTCCATCCACGGTGACATTGGTGACTGTTGTATTCCGGGTGTTAATTTTACCACCTTCTCTACTGCACTGGACCCAGTAGGTGAGGTCCTGGGAGGGGTGGTCCTCAGGGACATCCCACCTCAAGCTGATGGAGCTGGTGGTCTGAGATTCCACCCTTAGGTTGCTCACTGTGCTTAGAACTGAAAATAGAGCAGAATGGATGGTTATTTGTTCCCAAATGCCCTTAATGTGTGAAACCTATGTATTTTGTGCCTACTGTCTCATACCTTGGGAGGCTGAGGCAGGAGGAATTCATAAGTTCAAAGACAGCCTGGGCCTCATAGTGAACTCCAGACTTGGGATATGAAGCCGTATCAACATTGAGCGAGTACACAAAAACATACATATAGGAGCAATAAATAAATTAAGATACAGTAAGAAGACAGAAGGTACTTTTTACAGAGGAAGACACCTGACAGGAGGCTCTGGCTACCACATACAAATGCCGCCAGTTGAGAAACTAGACTTGTCCTCAGCCCCCCAGGGGCCATCAGACTCAGAGGTGTCACCTCTCGGCAAGGACAATGATTGCACGTAGGGTTGTACTCACCAGCCACCCTGGCCACAGTGCAGCCGTACAGAACCTAGAGGGGTGCAGGTAGGAAAAAAATTAGCTGAGCTAGGTGAAATCGGGAGGTGGGGCTGGTGCTACTGGCTGAGAATCTCTTGATCTCCGTCTCCCAGCTCTCCTTCAACCTTGGACAAGGAGAGGAATGTGGGGACAGGGTTAAAGGTCAACCCAACATGGGTGTGCTCTTGCTTAGAGAGACGGTCATCCATGGCAGAGTTGGAGCTCCCGGAAAGCGGCAACCAAGGTTGGTTCCCGGATAAGGGCAAGAGATAACACAAGGACTTTCAATTTTGGGGGGAAAATACATACATACATACATACATACATACATACATACATACATACATACATAGCCATGGACCAAGAGAGACAAGAAGAAAACAAATATGAACTCTGGAGACAGACTGTGGGCAAAGGGAGTTGGGAAACAGCTTAGGTCTCTGGGTGTGGAGGAGGGCGGGCAGGCACTGAGCTTCTGGGTCTGAGGGAGGAGGGCTGGGCTGTGTGTGTGAGCAGCCTGATCCCATGTTCACTGTCATGGCATACACTACAGCATCCCAACTCCCGTATGGTAAGCCTCATCCACATTCCTCCAAACTCGGAGCTCCCCTCCCTCTCCAGTTAGTGACCATCCCCTACCTCTTCAAGGCCCTGGCCACGGGACCTCCCTTCCCATCTCTGAAATGTAGATGCCCTTTCTATCCCTCCCTCCCTCCCTCGGACCCCAGCTCAGCCCTGAGCAGGAGAGAACTTACCAGTAGCACCAAGCTCCCCCAGACCCCAAGGTTCCCACCAGCTCTGGCCATGTGTCCCATCCTGCACAGGGAACACAGGAGTCCTCGGTCTGGAACCTCTACCTGTTGGACTTTAAACTTCAGTTTCCCTTTGCCAGCCCATTGGTGAGGCCAGAGGCTCACGCTGAAATGGGCGGAGGAGGAAGTAGAGCACTGAGCTTGAGAGCCCAGCTGGCCCTGCCCTGCCCCTCACCCTCCTCCCTTATCTTCTCAATCTCCCCAGCACAGACATCCTAAGCATCTTCTCTGTGGTCCTGGCTGGAGTCCTCAGTGCCCAGCTCACCCCATTTTGTACCACAGAAGCCTCCTCTCCACTCAGTTGCCTTTAATGCCCGAGGCAAACAGAGGTCGGCTCCCGCTGTGTGTGAATGCGCCACACAGAGTTAAAAAGGCCCAAACTAGACAGAGCCAATGCTGTCCATCTGACTGTCCTCTCTTGGTGAATGGGACACATCACAGCTAGCCCAAAACCAGGTGACTTGAGAGGGGAAACTTAGGCAGGATTACTGCACATTACAAGCAAGTCAGGACTACAGAATCAGAAACTCCCTTAAACACATACACACACATACAATCACATACATTTACACACAGATGTATACGTAGACATATACATAAGTATACACATCCATCCATGTGTGCATATGCATACATATGCTTACATATATGCATGTATATATACCCACATGTATGTATACATATTCCAAACACATATATACACATAGACATATGCATAGACACAGACATCCATACATACACACATACACACATGTACATTTAGATTCATATACACACACACATATATATAACCACACACGTATACACGCATAAGCATATATATGCATATATATGTATATATGCCCATATGTATGCACACACGTTTCACACACGTATACACATAAACACATAGGCATGTACATGCACACCCACATGTATGCACACGTGTACACATAAACACATACGTGTGTACATGCATACCCACATTATGCACACATATTTCACACACATAAACACATATGCACGTACATGCATACTTACACGCACACACTCACACCCTCGACTAACCGGAAGCTGTATCTCGTGTCCCATGGTGAGCTAAGCCTGACACAAAGCTCTTCTTCCCGCCTCCCACAGACCTTTGCAACGGTCTCAGGTGAGCCGTGCCCTCACACCCTACCCTACCCTTTGTGTGTCTACCCTGTCTTCTGTCCCCAGCACAGGCACACCCTCCCGCTGTCCTCCAGCAGCCTCACCCCTGTCCCCCACTTCGCTTCAGCTCAGGAGCAGTCCACACCAGGAAGTCCTGGGTTGTAACCCATCCTGGCAGACTATTCACATTTGCATACGCGCCTTGTCACGGGGCCTTTCCGTGACCTTAACAGGGTGACTTCAACCCATGGTGACTCAGATTTCTCCTCTATGAAAAATGGTCACAGCCAATTGTAAACAAGCCATGGGGAATTAGAGAGAGGGTTGCCTGCCTGGAAAATCTCACCACAGAGGGTGTGGTTTTGCACACTTGTTATCACTGTGCCCAAGAAGCTGAGGCTGGAGGGTGGTATGTTCCAGATCAAAGCAAGGTGTGTAATCACACCTGTCGTCCCGGCACTGAGGAAGATCAAGGGTCAGAGAGAGACCAGCCTGGGCTACACAGGACCCTGCCTTATATGCCCCAGGCTGGCCTCAAACCCTCAGACTCTCCATGACCTTAACTGCTGTCACCACCTCCACCTCCAGAGAGCTGGGGTCCAATCACCCACCAGGACTTCTGGCTTATGTGGTGCGCGAGATGGAACCCAGGGCCTCGTGCACACCACCACGCAGACCACCAGCTGAATTCCAGAGTCTCGCCAACCACATAGCTCCGTCTGGTCAGGAAGTTGCTGTGTAGATCAGGCTGGCCTTGAACTCAGAGTTCTACACTCGCCTCGACCTCAGTGTTTTGTTTTGTTTTGTTTTGTTTCCCCAGAGTGCCACACCGCCCCTGGCTGCTTTATTCTTGGGACAGATTTGAACTCACTATGCTGCTGAAGGTCTTGTGCACCTCGTTGAGTTAGTTCCTCCAAACGCCGCTGTGAACAGGAGTGTGCACATCTTGGCTCACCCTGCCTGGGAGGCTCACACCTGTCTACTAAGGCTCTCTCCCCCCCTCCCCAGCACCGGGAGACAAGGCTTGATGAATATGAAAAGCAGGGGTCGAAGGCCACAGGGCCATAGGGCAGATGTCGTCTGCTCTGACATATTGGGGCACAGTAAATGTTTGACCTTTTCATTTTCCCACCACCTCTCACTTATGGGGCAGAGTCACAAAGGGGAAGGGTGGGGAGAGAACTCGAGTTCATTGCTCCATCCTGGGAACATCTGGGACTTTGACAGTGCTCCTGAGTCAGAGGAGGAAGAAAGGCTCAAGGGGTCATAATGCAAGCGCTGCACTTTGAACTCCAGAACAGGGTTCCCAACTCCCCTCCCACCTCACCCCTACCCATCCCAACTCCCCTCCCACCTCACCCCTACCCATCCCAACTCCCCTTCCACCTCACTCCTACCCATCCCAACTCCCCTCCCACCTCACCCCTACCCATCCCAAGTCCCCTCCCACCTCACCCCTACCCATCCCAACTCCCCTCCCACCTCACCCCTACCCATCCCAACTCCCCTCCCACCTCACCCCTACCCATCCCAACTCCCCTCCCACCTCACCCCTACCCATCCCAACTCCCCTCCCACCTCACCCCTACCCATCCCAACTCCCCTCCCACCTCACCCCTACCCATCCCAACTCCCCTCCCACCTTACCCCTACCCATCCCAACTCCCCTCCCACCTCACCCCTACCCATCCCAACTCCCCTCCCACCTCACCCCTATCCATCCCAGCACCCCTCCCACTTCCCCCATCCCAGCCCAGCTACCTTCTCTTCCACATCTCCTAAGCTGTGAGGATATAGTTATCTTAATGCGTCCCTGAATGTACCACCATTAGAACCATAGAAACTTTTAGTTTTCTTACTTTGGGGGAGGGACAGACTGGTTGAAAACGTTCACTACGAATTGGCTGTGGTGGTGCATACCTGTAATCCCAACCCTTGAGAGGCAGAAACCCTGTATGAGGTCAGCCTGGTCGACACAGTATGAGTTTGAGGCCCACCTGGACTGCTTAGAGGGATCTGTCCCGTGGGGGGGGGTATGCCCTGATATAGTGGAATCAGCCCTTAATCCTAGCAGTCCAGACAGAGGCAGAGGCACATGGGACCAGCCTGGTGTGCATAGCCAGCCTCATCAGGCCAGCCAGGGCTACATGGCGAGGACCTGTATCACAAACTAAAGAAGGAGTATTAGTTCCTTCAATACATCTTAGCCTACAGCTGGCATCTCACCTCTTGACAGACTGAAGCTGCAGGACCGGAGTTTAAGCACAGCCTGAACCTCGTCTCAAAACACTTTCCTTTTCCACTACCTAGGGATGCAGCATGTGTTTAATACTAAGTGTGTAACAAAGAGCTCAAGACAGAGGGCAAAGGTCAGGTCAACACTGGATGTCTTCCTCTATTGCTCTCCACTTCTGTTTGGTTTGGTTTGGTTTTGGTTTTGGTTTTTCAGAGACAGGGTTTCTCTGTATTGCTTTGGAGAAGCCTGTCCTGGAACTCTCTCTGTAGACCAGGCTGGCCTCGAACTCACAGAGACCCACCTGCCTCCTCCCCCTCCTCCTCCCGAGTGCTGGGGTTAAAGGCGTGCGCCACCACTGCTCTGCCACATACCTTCTCTGTTGCTGTGCACATCCGCCTGGCTTCTGGGTGGCTAGCGGAGGAACATGTGCCCACGCGGGGCCAAACGCATCTCAAGTAAGACATATAGGGTCTTCCTTTTCTTCCTTGACTCTTCAGAACGGAACACACCTCCACCCACACCCTGTCCCTGAAGGGACTGCAAGGTTTACTTCTCCACTGCTGTGAAGAGACGCCATGACTAAGGCCACCTATAGAAGAATCTGTTTGGGGCTTACACGTATAGAGTTTATTTGGGGCTCACAGTGTCAGAGGGCGAGTCCCTGACCGTCCCAGCGGGAAGTGTGGAAGCAGGCACAGTGTTGAGGCAAAGCAGTTCTCATCAGGCCTGGTGATTCAGGTTTGCCATCCCACAATGGGAGGCTAAGGCAGAAGGAACACTGTGAGATGAAGGGCAGCCTGCGCTACAGTGTGAGGCCATTTCAAATAACACATTCATACATACAAACACACACTACACTCTCACGGTGATAGGTCATCTGTGAGCAACCAAATGGAGTGACGTTCTGTACCTGGGGAAAAAAAAGATCAATGTGGGTACCCACACAACCCCCCCCACACACACACACAGGCTCCCAGCACCAGTTTCCAGCTCCCAGCAAGGTTCAGACACAGATGCTTTCAATGGCACATGCTCTTCTGGGGTGGGGGACAGGGAGGACTTACTGATGCCAGTCAAAGCCTAAGCAGTCAACATCCACCTCGCTTCTCCTAGAGGCCAACTCTCAATGTCCTAGGAGACTCAGGAAAGAGGAATTACAGTTATTAGACCCTAGCTCTGATGCACTATTAGCCCATAGGGGACACAAAAGGTCACTTGTAGGGGGCTGTAAAGACAGCACCCACATGGAGGCTCACAGCCATCTGTAACTCCAGTTCCAGGGCATCTGACTCCCTCTTTCTGAACTCTGTGCACACCGCATGCTTGTGCTACATACATATACATGCAGAAGAAACATCCATACACATAAAATAAAAAAATAATTTGATGTAGGGGCTGGAGAGATGGCTCAGGGGTTAAGAGCACTGGCTGCTCCTCCGGAGGTCCTGAGTTCAATTCCCAGCAATCACATGAGATCTAGTGCCCTCTTCTGGCCTGCAGGGACACAGGCAAGCAGAACGCTGTATATATAATCAATAAATCTTTATAAAAAATAAATAATTTAATTTAAAAGGTCACCGTGCTTCTAGGTCTGGCTAAGACTGGATGGGGGCAGGAGGGTCCAATGTATTATTAATCTTTTCTAC